TGCTGAAAAGATCATCTGAAGTGACACTGAAATTACCAAGAATTATAAAAAGAGTAGAACTGGAGATTTACAGGTTGAGTACCCCACATCTAAACTGCATGGGACCAGAACTGTTTTGGGTTTTGGGATTCTTCGGATTTTGGAATATTTGCATGCACATAATGAGATATCTTGGGGATGGGACCCAAATCTAAATATGAAATTCATTTATGTTTCATATCCACCTTAGACACATAGTCTGATGGTAATTTTATACAATATGTTTAACAGTTTTGTACATGAGCCAGGCATAGTGGTGCATGCCTGTAATTCTAACACTTTGAGAGGCTGAAGGAGAAGGATCACTTGAGGCCAGGTGTTCAAGACCAGCCTGGGCAATACAGCAAGACCCTATCTCTACAAAAAATGGAAAATAAGAAAATTAGCCGGGCATGGTGGTGCACATCTGTAGTCCCAGCTACTCAGGAGGCTGAGGCAGGAGGATCGCTTGAGTCCAGGAGTTTGAGGCTACAGTGAGCTATCATGGCACCACTGCACTCCAGGGCAACAGAGACGTCATCTCTAAAAATAATATTAATAATAATAATTTTGTATATGAAATAAAGTTTTGACTGCAACCCAACACATGAGGTCAAGTGTGGAATTTTCCAATTGTGGAATCACATTGGTGCTCAAAAAGTTTTGGATTTTGGAGCATTCAGAATTCAGATTTTCAGATTAGGGATGCTTAACCTGAACCATATAAGAAGCTAAAGGCCGGGCGCAGTGGCTCACGCCTGTAATCCTAGCACTCTGGGAGGCCGAGGCGGGCGGATTGTTTCAGCTCAGGAGTTCGAGACCAGCCTGAGCAAGAGCGAGACCCCCGTCTCTACCAAAAATAGAAAGAAATTAATTGGACAGCTAAAAACATATAGAAAAAATTAGCTGGGCATGGTGGCGCATGCCTGTAGTCCCAGCTACTTGGGAGGCTGAGGCAGGAGGATTGCTTAAGCCCAGGAGTTTGAGGTTGCTGTGAGCTAGGCTGACGCCACGGCACTCACTCTAGCCAAGGCAAAAAAGTGAGACTCTGTCTCAAAAAAAAAAAAAAAAAAAAAGAAGCTAAAGATTCTAGAAGCAGTTCAAAACACAGAGAAAGGTAAGAGAAATACACGTTTAGGGAGATACACTTCGAGAGTAAAAGCATGAAAATGGACAGATACAGAAAGAGAGAAAAGACAACCACAGGAAATGACAACATTTAAGAAGCAATGGCTGAACTAGGGAGGATCAAGAGATGTGAGGAGAACCAGAACAGTTCACTATCATGGAACTCAAAGGATGGAGACTTTCAGGAGGTCGAAGGTGAACACCAAGTCAAATGCTGCTGTAGCTGACAAGCACTGTCCCCAGTTTCCTACTGGGTGTTTTTTTTTTTTTTTCAATGATCCACAGCAATTTAACTAACTCAACATGACCTGAATTTACCGTCTTCCCCCATTCTTATTTCTCCTTTGTTTCCCATCTTAGTAAATGGCACCATTTACTCGAGCCAGAAACCTTCCCCTCCTTCACCCTGCACTTCAACACCCAGTTTATCCCTGAAAGTCTCCCTCAAATCGAGACTAGCCTCCGCTAGCCTCCACTGCCCTCTCACTCCCTCCTTAAACTACTCACTCCTTTCCACTCTTGCCTCCTCTAAATCTTTCTCTATCCTGCCAGAGTGAGCTGTGAAAAACACAAATATAAATATGTCGTGCGCTGCCCTGCTTAAAACCATTTAATGGGTTAAGCTCGAAAACCTCAAGTTGAGGCCCTTGTCCCCATCTCAAACCTCCTCTCCCCCTCCCCCTGGCCTTTGCTCCAGCGATGCTGGAGGCTCCTGGGGAGCCTCTACGTCTCCGGGCCTCCACTTGTGACACTCACTCTGCCCGGCCTATGAGTCTCAGTCCCAGCTGCCTCCAAATAATCCTTCAGTTATCAATTTAGATGTCAGATCCTCCGTGTGCCTTTCTCGAACCTTCCAGACTAGATTAGGTCGCCTACCAGGAGTTCCCGGAAAGGGGCTCTGGGTCTCAGAAGTAAATTAAGAGATTTCTGCAAGAAAAAATGGGAAGCTAAAAGAGTGGGGATCTAGGCCCCCTACCCATCTTTTATAAGGTAACTCTCTTTTTTTGTTTTATATATGCATAAGTGTAAAATTTCATTTGAAAACAGGGTGTCGCTATAAAGCAGCTGGAAAACCACTAGCATAGATCACTCTCAAGGTCCTCCCTAGTTCCAAGTCTCCCTGTAAGTTACCATCCTTATATGTGAAAACAGAGGAATCCTTCGTCTGCCTTTGTGAGGGGTGGAGAGTGGTTAAAATCATAGTAAGGATCATGGCTGATAAAAAATAATTTGGTATAATCAAGGTCTCAGAGAAAATACGGAGTTAGGCCAAAAATACAAATCGCATTAAAACAATATATGAAAGTACTACAAGTAACCAGCTTTCAAAACAAATCAGATTTTCCTCACTTGCCACATTTTCTAGGAGACAACGCTGCTGACTCGCTTTCGTCAATTATTTAGGAAACATCCTAATCATACAGTAATCTGCTGAGGCCTATGGCGTAGTGGTTATGAGGCTGCGCTCTGAAGGCAGAAAGCAGGGGTTCAAATCTCAGCAATTCTACTACCTGTGTGACCTTAGGGGAACTGCTCAACCACTCTGTGCCTCAGTCTCTCATAAAATGGAAAGGATAATATCTATGTAAGAGAACCATGGTGAGGAATAAACAAGTTAAAACATGCAAGCTTTTACAACACTGGCACAGAGAAAGGACTCAAATGCTGTCCATGGGTGTGTGCACCCATACGTATGCTCAAGTTGCATGGCACAGACTAATTCTCTTCTTAAAGTCTGGAACAATTTCTTATTGGCTTGAAATTTAGCTTCTTTTACACTGACATTCTCTTTCATCTTTTCCAACCTTGGCAAATGCTTATTTAACTACTAGTCCTTTTCATGGTAGTGCCAAATTTATCATGTGCTTAAGGGCACATTTTTATGTTCAGTGTCTGGTCTTCAATTCATTTGCTGAAAAGGAAAGCACAGACCTTCCCCTTCTGCACTACCCCCAGAGACTTGGCTATCTCATCCAAGCTCACCTGAACAGAACTTTTGCTTTAAAAGCTTTTATTATACAAACACAAAATAGCCTGATCTAAAAACCATCATTGCCAAAACCAGGGCTGGCAAGGAATCACTGCCCCATTAAAAAACAAATATTCTATGAGTACCATTATTTTCCTAAGTGCTAGTGGAAGACATAGAAGTTAATGCCAGACAGGACACAGAGAGATTTCAGACAGAGGGATGGTGAGTAAGACAGAAAGCAGAGCAGAGTTCCTCAAATCCTGGTATTGCTCTATTTCCAAGGGAGACGAGTGTCTCCCCACGGTACCCCCATCACCTCTCTCAATCCTAGCACTTTAATTTGTTTTGTCTATTTCCCACATTAGAATACAAGCCTGGTGAGGGCTCTGTTTTATTATTAGGGGAATAACAACGACGACAACTGCCACTTAATGAGAACTTACTCTATATCAAACTTTGTCATATGTCCCTTCATTTAACCTTCATCATCCCTAAGAGGTCAGCAGGAACCTTCAATCCCGTGTTGTAGAGAAAAGACCTGTGGCTCAGAGGGACAAAGTGGCAGTGCTCCTCTTCGCTCCTGCCCCCCATGGCCCACCTAACCCAGCACCTCTGCCAAGGCAAGGCCGGCCTCCTGACTGTCCCCTGCCTTGTCCAGGTAGGTCCACCAGCACTCAGAGCCAAACTCTCAGAAAAGGAGATTTGATCTTGTCATTTTCCTGCTTAATTAACGGTTTCCTCTGGCTGCTTAGAATCCATTCTCCCCCTTCTTATGCATCGACCAGGCTTGGCAGGATCCGCCCAGCCCCATCTCCTACCAGCTCCACACTGGCTGGCCTCCTCTCTGCCCCATGGAAACATCTAGCATGTTCCTGCCTGTGGGCTTTTGCACTTGCTGCTTCCTCCTCCTAGAACTTGCACCTCACGCCTCCCCCTCATTTCATCTGCTTCTCCCTTCACACAGCAAAAGACAGCCACATCACAGCCCTAAGATGACATAAACTCCGCAAAGACCAAGTGGAGGTCTCTGATCGCAATTCCCAAATCCTAGGAGGAAGAGTCTGATACACTTGAGTCAAGAAAAAGTTCTTGGCCTCGATGCAGGTTGTCGTGATAGAAGCAGGGCTCTTGGGGCATCCTGCTTCCTTTTCCCTCCGTCCCACTCCCACCAACTCACATTCTACAAGTTGTTTACAAGAGAAATGCCTTGCAAACCATAAACTTTCAAGGAAATGTAAGGAAAGGGAAAGAAAGGGAAAGGGAAAGGAAAGAGGAAAGGAAGATAAAACGAGAAGAAAAGAAAAAAGAAATTAATGCCAGACAAGTGGTAACATTGACAGATAAACTTTTTTCTTCTTTTCCTTCCTCCTCTCTGGCAAAGATTCTTTGGTAACTAAATAACTGAAAGTCATACAATAAGAAAAAAATAACTGGTCTTTGACTAAACAGAGTTTGCCTAACCTCCTCCATCGCACACAGAGGACACACACTGAAAATTCCCACACATGAAAGTGAATGTTGTTCTGCATTAACAGCTACCCACCACCCCTTTTTAGCTTTGCCACCTACTTCCTCACTCTCACTCATTGTTCTCCTTGTGCCGAAGATTAGGCTGGGATCAACAGTGAAATGCTCCAAGGTAATTTTTTAAGTGACAACACTGATTAGAATGACTGTCAACTTCAGCCAAGATGAAACTATCACTCTATAGCTAAACACAGTGACCAAGACTGAACAGCTTATAATGAATACACAGCCTGGCAATGTAACAAGTTAATATTCTTTCAGGCCATGGAGATCCCAGTTGCAACTAATCTCTACTTTTTTAAAATCATTTTTCAAAATGACTCTTTCATCATGTCCAATAATTCCAGTAACTTACCGGTCAGCAGCTTCTATGTCAAAACAAAACCTTCTGTCAATGGAGTCTGTATGCCTTTTGGTACATTCTTTCAAAAAGAACACCTCTCCATCCCCCTGCAAATAATCATTTTAAACATTCTGTAAAACTATAGTATAAGCATATACACAGTGAGCCTCTCTATCTTGAGGGGTGGGAAGCCAAGGCTCAAGATTATAAGTCCCTTCTCTTTATTCTCTTTCAAACTAATTTAAACACTATTTAGAATCTAAACTCGTAATCTTTTTTTGTTATTCTCCAGTTCTTCAGGTTTTCCAGATCATACACTGATTATAATGACATTAAACAAAACCTCATCAATGTTAATTCTAAAAGGTAGATTAACAGTAGTTTCCAGATGCTAGAATATTTGTTACTCTCTTATTATACTGTTTAAAAGTGAAAATTTGTTTTTATTTTGCATTATGTTATACCATAAGTCATAGTCAATATGTGACCTTTTTTGATCTACAAAAACTGCAATTCCATATGGATCAAACTAAAAGTACACTAAGGGCCCTAGATCAGGTACTGTGATAATCTAAAGCTAAAACCATTCAATCCATGCAGTTTTTCTCTTTCCTACGTGAATCACCTTGAATTTATCTTTAATTTTTTTTAATATGGTCCCATTTATGTCACTTAAACCATCCTCTCTAAGAGCATTAAAAAGAGGTAGGAGACTAAAGACAGAAGCAGTACAGGAATTCAGGTACTCAGTAAAGAACTATAAGTTGTCTGAGTACACACTTTTAAAACACGTTAATATTTTCTAGAATATGAGGATTGCTAATATTAAATAAGCATTCAAATATATAACTATTCAAAATATCAGTTATATTCCAAAATGTAATTTTCCATTATTTGGAGGCTAAAACAGAAAGACATCACTAAGCAGAAATGTGTTAGGACTTGAATTAGCTGATAGAAAGTTGACTCAAGACTGATGTTCAATCTTAACCCCATCAGCCAGTAAGAGTGACATCCTTACCTCACTCTCTTCCCCATGACCCTTGACTTTTCACGTCTATTTCATTACTACATGAATGTTTTTATTGCAAGCTGCTTTAAATATTTTTCTGGAACAAGCAAAGTATATGTAAATAGGAGTGAACGTGGGTTAATTCTGTATTCACCGCAGCAAAACTACACCCATCTACCCAGCAAGCAAGGAATTAACCTGCTTTCCTAAAATGTGGTACCAAGTATGTTCGGTATCGGTGGGAAGAGCTTTGTCTCTAGACCATCAATTACTGTTATGAGATGCAGCTCTATTTAAGATGCATATGAAGATTACTTTTCCTACACAGCCAACTCCCTGAGGTCTTCTTGCCCTTTTGTAACTATCATGCTTTTGCTTTGCTGTTTATTTCTTTGATGGGGAATCAACTAAATGGGGAGTACCTAAGTGAGAACTTTGTAAGTCTAACTGAACAACAGTGAAATTCATCACAGATCACTCTACTTTATAATGTTCTCCGGCTGTGAATACACATGTGCAAGTGACATCAAAGGATTCTACTGTTCTCTTACCAAAAACTCCGACTGTAAAAACCTATGAATGCAACTCAGAAAACACAGAAAACTGTTCTGTTTTCTGATCAATTTTTAGAAACAAAAGAAAGCAAAGATTTTCATGCTAAAAACAAAATTTATTTATCCTTAGTAAATATAAACCATTAAAATACAAACCATTAAAGTGACACCCTCAAACATTACCTCTTATGCTATGTAGAATCAAATACTTACAAGTTTCCCCCCAGATCTGTGCTCAAATGGGATCATGTTGAACTTCTTGGCTGCTTTCCGATACATGCAGTAGTGTTTGACCCAACTGGAACCGAATGGAGCAGGCCCTTCAACAAAAAACATTTATTTCCCTCATAAATAAGCAGATATGCAGAGCTCCAAACCAATTACTAAAGAGGAAAAACTCAATAAAAGCAGCAACTAATACGGCTCACTGAAACAACCCAGCAACACGGCTGGTTCTAATAAAAGGAAAACACTAGGGAGAACAAAAAGGCCCACGGAGAGACTTGGAGAGAAAATTCTAAGACATTTTCAGCAACAGTGATTTAATGACATACTTTTAAAATAGTTTGCTAGAAAAACCAACAGTTACCTCAAACCTGAAAATCTCTTACTTGTAAGTTCTATTTTTGGTTTGTTTCTAGGTACTAAGACCTCACGAGGGTCTCAAAAGTTACATCCAATATATGTGACGGTTTGGGATTCAATTCCAGCCTCTCAAAATGATGGAATTATAGAATCACAGTGCCGAGAAGCAGCAGTTAGTCTAAAAATCCACCGAGCGCTTTAACCTCACTAATAGCGCCCTGGTAAGCAGCTGCTCTTACTGACTATGGTAAAGCTTTAGAAATGAAATATGAAGAAACATAAGACTCAACGGGGGTAAACAGTCTCTATACACACCAGAACATTCTCAGAATCCCTTTTCAATTCTTGCCAAGTCAGTAGTACCACCACCAGAGCTCTTAAAAGCCGGTGGTCTACGTCAGGGGTACCCTGGCATCTGGAATTTCACACACCAGTTAAAGTCCAATCATAACAAATGAAAGTTTAGGCCTAGCAGAGGCTGACAATTTTTTCCTTTTACCAAGTAAAGACATTTTTTTAAAAAGCAATTAGCACCTACTATTGCCATCATTTTATTTTTTTTTGAGTGTCTCACTCTGTCTCCCTGGGTAGAGTGCAGTGACATCATCCGCCATTGTAGCTCACAGCAACCTCAAACTCCTGGGCTCAAGTGATCCTCCTGCCTCAGCCTCCCTAGTAGCTGGGACTACAGGCATGTTCCATGACGCCTGCCTAATTTTTTTCTATTTTTTGTAGAGATGGCAGTCTCACTCTTGCTCAGGCTGATCTGGAACTCCTGACCTCAAGCAATCCTCTTGCCTCGGCTAGCCAGAGTGCTAGGATTAGAGGCGGAGCTACCATGCCTGGCCTAGTATCACCATAATTTCCTATATAAATAAACCTTCTACACCTAAAAAAATCAACAAAGGACCAAACTCAGGAGGGAAAAAGAGAACTCATTTAAAAGGAATGTATTTAGCTTTAGGAAAAGCCAACCACATTACTTGGGAGGGGGGGAAGAGATGAAAGGAGTTACTAGACCACAGTAAATTTTATCTCAGATCATGTTAGTCCAAAAACCGGAATTTGGGAACCACTGGTGTGTGTGTTACAAATAACTAGCATTTGTACAGCGGTCTATGGTTCACAAAAATGCAAAGATACCTCATTTAACACTGAGGAAAAAAACTTCAAGGAAGGGATGGTATATTATCTTTTTAATCTAAAGAAACTTAAGCTTAGACCAAATGCCTGAGAAATGACAAAGTCAAACCTCAGAGTATGGCCCCAAATACCAAGGTCTTTCCACTAATTAAGCCACCATCACCTCCTTACACCCACCAGATCCTACTCAACCAGCTCTGAGCACAGAGGCTAACGATGCTTTTGCACACCTGCCCAGCTCCGGCCACTAGGGGGGAGGGCGCCAACACAGACTCCAGTCACAGGCTGACAATCCCAGCATTTAGTAGGTGTATGATCTTGGGAACCTTGTTGACCTCTCGGTGCCTCCATTGCACTGACAAATGTGGTGATAACAGCACCATATACTTCACACAGTTGTTTGATGGATAAATGAGATAAGTTGTATGAAGAATTTAGCATAGTACCAGGCATACAGTAAATGAGAAAAGAATTTTGCCACTACTGTTTGTATTTTTTCCCAGTCTAGTTTCAGCCCCATTTCTCTGAAAGCCAAGAGTTAAGCAAGAGTTACGAACCTAAAAATTAAATTTTCCTGTTGATTTTCACTTGGACATACAATACGAAGAGTTCTAACATTCTCATTACTCCATCCAAGATTTTAATTTAGCTCTTTCAAATTCAATTTAAAAAACTGCGACTAAGAAGATAAAGTATGAGAAAAATGCAGAGTCTGCCATGTCATATAAATGTTCATGAGAAGACTATGAGATTCCAGATTAAATAATGGCAGATGAAAAAAGTACAACCATCCTGCTGACTGCATATAACATTCAATTCAAAGCACAGATACTACATAACTGTTCCCTGAGTACTCTCTACTACTAAATCGATCAGTCTGAAAAACCTGTAAATCAGCCACGATTACCAAATAAAATGAAAATTGTAAAGCACCCTAATTATAGTTGAGGTGGGAAGGGAGGAAAATAGTAAACATAGACATATTTCACATCCTCATCCTTTCTACTAACTAGCAATTGGGCTCTACAGTTGAAGGAGTAAACTTTAAGAGCTTAGCTGTTTAAGTAAGACCAAATTATTCAAAGCTTGAAAGAGATATGGGTCCTTAAATTTTCAAAGTAAGGACTCCCAATGCACTAGATAATTGCTAAGACAGCCACGATCCTAAAACCCCCATGAAATAAGTTAGGGTGCCACGTAGGAATATTTTTTATGGCCATCAGTAATTTTCTTGATAATTTTTATAAGAAGCAAATATCTCAGATTGTTGCGGACAGAAATGGTGTCAAGGAAGGAGAGAGAGAGATGTCTCTCCTGATCTTAAAGGAGAACCAAGGTTGTGGGAGGGGAGGGTGCGTACGTGTTTACAAATATGTGTCTGTGGGGTTGTGTTGGTGAGAAGGACAGGGTGGGGGAAAGGAGGAAAAAGTTAATACCCTCGTAGCTCTGGCTCACTTTTAATTTAGCCTTACACAGGACACTGGCTCCCTCACAAGCAAGTTCCTGAGGGCACAGTGTGGAGCAGAGTGTCAACATGTGTCTGGAGAGCAGGGTGCTCGCAGCCTGTCCTAAGCTCACTGGACCCTGTCCAGAGCACAAATGTGTTTTCTCCAAACATGCAAAATACACCTTCTAGGACAGGAGAGGGCAAAGAAGATGGTAGAAATAATTTCCCAAAATGTCACAGCAATGACAAGGAGAATAGCAGAGTTTTCAACAGTTTGGATTTTGAACCAGCCATTCAGCCACTGCTTGAGGGCCTCTTACTTTTTTCCTGCACATACAGGTAGCCTTCTGCTGTAAACTGACTTGCTCGTTTGTGGTCCTTGGGATGCTGTCTGATTTTGTTCATAAGCTCTTCCACTTCTGACCTTGTTCCTTCAAATCGATTCCGTGTCTAAAATGGATTAAAAAACACACATAAATTTTAAGTTCTGAGTTCTCTCATGTACACTTTACAGTTTCTGGATAACTGTAAACTATTTTATAAATTTCTCAAAATATCCCCATCCTTTCCAGTGTGTCTTGTTATGGAGATTCATGTTCAAAGGAAAAAAAGTAGTGGTAAAATAGCTAACAGAGGAGTAAAAGACAAAGAAACTAAAGGTCATTTACTTTTGAAGCTTTCTAACACCATGAATAATGCTATTATTTACTATAAAAATTCCTGCCTTTGGGTCTCACAGTATTACTACATCTTAGGTTAAAAAAAAAAAAAAAAAAATTAGGTCATAAAATATGTACCTGGGAAGAATCTCCTTTGCAATGACCAATTTGACTCAAGTTGTTACTATCACACTAGCAATCTGTAAGTACTCAGAATCTCAAAAAACTTAATTCTGCTTTGCAAACTATTAATAATCAATATGAGTGTCAGTGTACATAGGTCATGGTAATTGTGCTTGAAAATGACATTTCTTCCCTGAAGAAAGAAGTGGAGGAGAAACTCTGCTATAAATAATGTCTTTGACATCTGAAGAGACAAATCACATTTCCAAAACCCAGGGGACTTGGTTTGCCAATATCTGTCAAACGGCCACACCGTAATAAACCCGCGTGCAATGTGAAGTGACAAAATCACCAAGGCGACTGTGATGAGTCAGCACCACCGAGTTCCTGGACATTTCTTTCATCCACGCTGAAAAATAATTGTGTTAATACTGAGAAACTGCTGATGTGAAACTACGGAGGAGCTGAGATAGAAAATTATCACCGAAATTTCTTCTCTCTCCTCCCTACAATAAAAGGAGTTATCAAGGGTCCTAAGAGCAGAAAAATGACAGAATGGTACATTTTTTTTCCAGTGGGATGGAGAGTCTGATAAATGTAGGTTGTAAAAGGAGAAATCTATCTGCAGAGGTTTATTTTAAACACAAACTAAGCGCTAAAAAAAAAAAAAAAAAGAATCTGTTTATGTACTCTAAGCAAAGAATTGATCAGTTTATAGGTAGTTTCCTGTCTTCTTCCTATCTCTCATGTCTCCAGGGTTTCATGTCCATCTTTATACTGATTTCACACTGATTTTATTCCCTTCCTTAGTCATTTTGCTAAGTCATTTCCAACCCTCACTTCTCATGTGTATTATACATACATGCACATATACGTGTGTATGATGTATATATGTATGTATAGATGCCATCACGTGTGCACACTTCTATTTAAGCCAATGAGTTGTATCCAGTAATCCCATTATTTATGTTTATGCTCAAATTGTCCCAGATTTGAGCAGCAGGAGCCCTATTCAGGCTGATTTCTATATCTTTTGACCTGTCGCCTTAATTCTTTGAGCAATTCCTTTCTTTCTGGTCCAATAAGGTTACCCAGGTTCTTCTTAGACTTCCCCTGTCCTAATCCTGGAATCTGCCATTTCTCCAAAGGAACCCTTGTTCCTTTTAGTGGATGGCAGTATTTATTACAGAAACCAAAATCTGGGCATAGTGTATTCATAGCTAAGGGGCTGTCATTGCTTCTCAGGCTTCTCAGCAGACAGACTTAGAAAATATATGTACATATCATACACATACATACACTTAAACACAGAAACACATATTACTACTTCTGTAGCTATTTATGTATTTTAAAACCCATGACTTCCTACTGATAAATCTACTTCCACTCTAATACTTCAGGTTTCTTTCTAGCCTATCCCTTTCCAAATATGTGAATTTCTTCTCAGTGAGAAACCTGGCTCCCATCATCTTCAACATATTTGCTATTTGTTCAATTAACACAGCTGCTCGATGTAACCAATCTCCCAGACATTCCAGAAGCCTCTTCCGCATGTCACCTCTGTGCTCCCCAATATCGCATCTTCCCTGCTGCAGACACCTCCATGAAGTACTTCTCCCTCACTGCCCTGCTTACCCAGAACCTTATGTCTCTGCACTGGGAAGGGAAAGGCTTAGCTACTTTTTTTTTCCAAATTTATCATTTTTAGGTAAATTATGAATTGAAGTAAAAATCACAGTTTTTAAACACTAATGGGAATGGCTAGAACCTGGCAATTTCCAATTCTAAATTCCAGGTACATTTGAAGATATCCTCTAATTACAATAATGTTAGAAAGTAAATGTTACAATAGGTAACATCTGAGCACTTACACTGTGACTGGCTGTACTGAAAACACCTGTAGTTCTTTAATTCTCACAATAACCCACGGGGCAGGTCATTGGCTGACGCTACCCAATGCCAAAAAAAGACCACTGCTGTCTTGTTTTCCTTCCTTTCCTTCTGTGTTTCAGTAAATAAACATTTCCAAACAAACCAACTTTAAATTTAGCCTAATACTTTTATTATTTTAAATCTGATTAGAATAGAAAGTATCTTTTTAAATTTTTTTTCAGAGTGTAAGAACGAATCCATATCATGATAAAACAGAGAGGAGGACACAAACAGTCCTATGGGAGGAACAAAAAGTATAAACAAAATAAAAAGTAACCATAAACCCACCCCTCAGGAAAAAAACCACTGTCATATTTTGATGTAATCACTTCCAATCTCTTTTATTAAAAAAAGAAAGCAAGCTTATTGTTTTGGTATTCTACTTTCCTCATAACACTGTAACAAAAATATTTTTCCCATATTCTTAAATGCTTCTTAGACATTCTTCATCACTTCTGGGATGAATCCTAAAATTTCTCATGTTATATTTCCTTCTAGGAAGAATTCTATTCTAGTCTCCCCTTCCCCATATTCTTCTGAGGATAGAGATCACAGAAGTCCAAAATTAGTTTCTTAAAATATTCTTTAATTTTGATGTAATTTCCATTCTTCTGGAAAATCTATTTTCTAAAACCCATCTTGCTACTTTCTTGCTTTCCGCTTATTACTCTAGATTATAGAAAATGGATGAAGAGTGAATCTCTCAAAAAAAAAAAAAGTCTAGCCATTTTTACAATAAAATAGATGCAATCAGATGGGAGGAAAAGGTTGTTTTCACTTTTAAGTAACTTTTACCTTTTTTCTGATTATAAAGTATTTTTGCTACTTAATTTTTTTTACTATAATAAAATACTGAAAAGTTGATCAAAATTATCTGTAATAACACAGAGACAGTTAATTCTAAGATTTGGTTTTAACATTTGAGTATTTCCTTAAACACATAAATACCTGTAGCACAAATAATAACATATAACTGGGATTTTTTTCAACAATATGAAAAACATTTTAGCCAACATTTTCTCCTTATTATAATAAAAACTGACATCATCAGGGAATGAGATGAATGGCCAAGAAATGAGTAAATTACAGTATCATTGAGATACAGCAGATGATAAAGAATGAGTGACATGTTCAAAGATGCCAGTATTTCAGAAGAGAAAAGAATTAGATAAAAGCAAAAATGAAAAGCAAAGATAACACCTAAATCAGGTGTTTTCGGTATTGAAGGTGAGGCAGAGAGAAAGAATAGACTCTACTTCCGAGAGCTGCACCAGTGACCTCAGAAACAGCCAGAATAAAAACGAGACAGGAATATTTAGAGAATAGGCACAGGATTTAGGGCAATTTACTAATGACCATCTTTAAGTTCCAGAGGATACAGAAAAAGGTTTTTTTTCCCCAGTAAGCTGTGATTTACCCATTTATCTACAGAAAATGAATGCTGTTGTCAATTGTGTAAGTTCTTAATGTATTAAGGATATTAACCAGGCCATTTTGTGAACCATTTCAAATGATAGCTTATCTTGAAGATTTGCATGTAAGATTTCATTACTGAGTACTGCTCATTCTTATTTAAATACTTAGTCTCTTTGAAATGATTTTGGTTTATGTAAGGTAACTAGATCCCCTCTTCCCCCAGGTGTGTTATAAATGTACTTCCACGTCATTAAGCAAGCTGTGCAGGGACAGTTTTGATAAAGGCCCCAAAGACTTTTATGTATCCCCATACCTCACCCCAGAGGCTCAAGGCAAGGCTGGCTTCAGGGACATGTAGCCTGCAAGGTCACACAGGCCCTGTGCTCAGAAGTCTCCTGCTTGGGTTAATGCTCTATCATCTATCTCTTAATTAATTTTCAGTAAGAGGCCCTACTTTTTCATTTCACATTGGTCCCACAAATTACATATACAGTGCTGCCTGAAGGTTCTCATCCAGGCCTTCCCTACCCTTGACAGGCAAGGTCCAGACAGAAAAAGTGTAATTCCACAATCTCCACTAATTGTAATTCCAATTAGTGGAGAAAGAGAAAAAAAAAAATCAGGATTATAATGCAATCATCTAAGCTATCTAATGTTCTTTTTACAAAACTATGTTCTGCTGCCTGCAAAAATATTTTGAAAAATCACATCATTAAATATTCTACTACCTACAGGGTCAATTTTGAGGTGACAAGGATTAATCTACACGTATACATTTTGAATTTTTAATTTTGTTACATTATGGTCATATCATGTATTTTATAATTCTCTTCACTGATCTTGGGGCCACAGCAGCAGGAAAAGAAAATATCTATTCAAGGATTCTATTATCAGTAGCGCAGCTGAATATCTGATCTACTAATAGAAGTTGACACGTAAATTACAAAAACAGGAGATTTTTATCATCCCAATATGGATATAAATGTTTTGTATAGGGAACTACCAAAAAAAAAAAAAAAACACCTCGGAAATCAAACCTGCACAAAAGGCATTCATCCTCAACTAACTTTGCATAAAACTAAGGACAGGCAGCAAACACCAGAGATTCCCGTCCATCCACCTGTGTAAGCTGTGAGTTTGTCACAAAGCTATCACACTGGATTTCTAACAAAGCCTCAAATTATACCAAACGTACCCTGACTAGCTTTTCAAGGAGGACACTTCTGAGACCACCTGATGCGCTGGGAGGAAAACCATCTCCCACCTGAATAAAATTATATGTAGCATACTGCTTAATAGATAAAATTTTTCCCTTTATCCAACACCTGATAGAAAGAGTACATTTTCCAAAGGAAAATGATGAAGACCAAGGGCAACTATGAACAGCACTGCATGAGTGAACATGCACAAAATGTAGGGAAGAAATTCCACTTGAACAATAAGCCTACCTGGAATAAAAATCAAGACGCACAGTTAACTGGGAAGAAATCTGGTTCATTATAATTTAAATATCTTAAATCTAAAGTGGGAGCTCTTTTTTCTGTTTGATACATAGCTAATTTAGAGTTAACAAAGCTGATCCTTAGAACTGTCCCAAAAAGTGCAGGAAAAGCCGCCAGGTGGCAGAATTTCCTGAGCGGCGGGAAAGCAGTTTGTTACTCCAAGAATTGACCAGAAGGTGGCAACATATCCTCAGCTTCTCAGCACCAACAGCTCAGCTTGGTCTTAGTTTGAGGCTTTTCACACGCCAAATAAATGAAAAATACACATTTCAAACATCTGTTTTATACCACAAAGCTTTCATTTCCTTACATTCTGAATGTTGATCTGTAGTTCCATTTTGTAGTGATTGAAGTCTTTGGCAAGTTCATGGCCCTGATGATAGAAAGTAAACATCCCCTGAAAAAATGAAAGCATCTAAAACAAAGGAGAAAAAGAGACATTAGCGCACAAAAAAAAAACCTCTCGGGAAAAAAAGAATCACATAAACAGCCAAGTTTTTCCCTCTCATCTCACTGTTATCCCACTGATGTAAAGTAATTAAAAAGAAGTCACTAGCATTCAAATAAATCCAAGTGCATAGTATTTATTAATTGGTCTTTTTGAAAAACAATGCTTTTTCTTAAATATCAGGGCAATTAGTCAATTTTTATAGCATGCTCTATAGGAAAAAATGGAATTCTAAGTCACCCATTTGTCCCCTTTAGTCAAGAGAATCCCAATATTCATTTGTCACTAAAACCTTACCACTGTAGGTTGATACAATCTATAAGAAAGTAAAATCACAGAATCAAAGAGCTCAAGACATCCAGTGGAGTGCGACCTCTCTGTCTGGTTGACAAAGATGTTCAGTGACTTGCCCAGGGCAGACACAGGCCTGTCATTAAATTCTTCCTTTTCTCCCAACTCCCAACCTGCCCCTCTTAATCACAGGGCAGCTGCTTCTGCCCCACATGTAAGTAAATCTAAAGTGAGCAGAAGTGATTTGGGGAGAAACTTAAGGAAATCCTGAAGTTCATTTTCTTCAGAATGTCACAAAGAATAATGGTTAGGAATTTGGGATTCTGATATCAAATGCTGAGTAGGGTCAGTTCCCAGCTTTAGCAATGGCTTGTTGGAGACCTTGGGTGAATTACTGAAACTTTCTCTATGTTATTTCCTTATTTGCTAAGTGGGATAATAAAAATACCTCCTCATTGAGTTAGCATGTTAAATGAATGAGTACAGTACGATATTTAGAACAATGATTTGAGCACTGAGCATTGTAAATGCCCAATAAATGCAGGCCATTATTATTTCACATAAAAAAAAAGCTTTAAGGAGGTTTAATTTTTCTCTAATTGATTTAGATTAATTCTATTACTCCAACTAAACCATAGCTTCATGAATGCTAATTTTTAATTAATTACTTGGTTATTCTTTTGTTTCTAAAAATCATACAATGGGTAGATTGTATAAGATATGAATTACATCTCCATAAAGCTTTTTAAGAAAAGAATAGCACGTAAAAGTCTAGATTAAAATTAAAATGAATCTTGAGAACCATGAAATCCAGTGTTTGTCAATTTTTTTGCTAAAATCCACATTATGAAATATCCTTTATATTTTGATAAGATATATTCATATATATGCCCATATATAAATATATAAATAACCAAAGCTGTTAAAAACATCTATATAATTACAAACAAAAATCATGTGCTTCTCATGTAAGTATAAAGAAATGCTAAAGTAACTCACAAAACTGTTTCAAATGTTACACACACTGGTTCTCAGATTGCCATAAGCATTGTAAAAGTGGTGTTAGAAATCATATTACAAATAACTGTTTAAAGTACCAAACTTTAAATTGGTATACTTGTTTTAGAAACAAACTTGAGTAAAGATTATCCCATAAACAACCCCCTTTCACTCATAGTCTAATATAAATTCTTTCAGAGGGTGGAGCTACAACCAAGATGACAGAAATTGCACCTGGTTGCAGTCCTTGAGATCAAGTAGCAACAGGAATAACACTCATTACGTGTCGCTGTGCAAATACGGTTGAGAACCAGACTTAGAGGCAATGCCTTGACTTCGTGGCTATCTGTGTCTGCCCTTTTCAATTTATGTCTTGCTTCATGTTTATGCACTACAGCCTCTAAGAACCATTTATTAGATCTAGGAAGAAAAATATTTCTATTATATCACTAAAGTGTGCTAGCCAACAACTTGATAGAATACTCACAGGTTCCACAAACTCAAACTTCTTTCTCTCTTGGATTTCCTGAAGCTTACATACATATTCGAGAGACAGTTCATAAAAGTGTTGCCGGTTTTGTTCCACTTGGATATCTGCCTATGTTAAAATAATTGAGGTTAGTCAAACTGGAGGTATTGAGAAGTGAAACTCTACACCAGAGGTCGGCAAAATACAGTCCTCGGGCCAAATATGTCATGTGGCCTGTTTCTGGTAAATAAAGTTGTATTGGAACATAGTCATGCCTATTCATTTATTTATTGTCTGTGGCTACTTTGCCGCTACAACAGCAGAATTGAACAATTGCAACAGGGACCGATGATCCACAAAAGTCTATCATATTCTTTGCAGAAAAAGTTTGCTGACCCCATCTCTGTAAGCTGAGCTTGACCCCCAAAGATTGAAGATCAAGCAGGCTCTCCCCACAACCATGACTGACACCCAACGTGGATGAATCACATACATAGAATCACAATCACACAAACATCATTTCCATGAACACATCCTCTAAGAACAAAATCTGCCTGGGAGAGATGGTTGGAGAAATGCCAGTCGCTGCAGACGTAGGGAGTGATGGCAGCAGGTGGGGAAGCAGCCACCATGGCAGCATCTCAAGAACCTGGCTCTCAAAGGCGGGCCAGGGCTGGCCGCCCATCTGCGGGCAGTCACAGCCCTCACAACGTCTGATACCCTGGGACTGAAGGGGCACCAGCTGGTCAGGAGACTAATCCAAAAAGAGGTTCCAGCTTAGCCTGCTTGCCTAACTAGGAAGGAATTGGGGGAAGGGCACAATTCCACAGAAGAACAGTGGAGAAAGAATTCTCATCCTAGAAACTATTCTTATAAGGCATCGTGTAAGTATTTTTCCTAACTTAGCTAATTTTACTCTTAAAGGTATGTATCTACACATTTCTCCAGAGAAGATATACGAATGGAGCTAAAGAAAACATATGCTAATGGATCAGATGACTCCCAAGATTTTGTGTAAGCAATGATTAAAATGAGATACCTAATTAGGAGTGAAGCAAAGATGGAAATTTACTTGGGGAATTGGAAATCCTCTTTAGGATACCTGAAAATAGAGATAAAAGAGAACAGAGGTAGGAAACTGCCAGCATGAAGAGTGGGACCTATAAAAGCAACAGCTGTCATTTCAAAATTGACAGAGGGTGGGAGATGAGAGAGACGAGGGGAGGATGTAATCATTGCATGGTGCTCTACATAACATGGAACAAGGAGAGAATGGAGCCCTACCTGTATACAGTACTGTAGTGAGGATTAAGTGGTATAAAAGCTCCATTCTCTTCTATGAGATGTCAAGCGCCATCCAAATGTCAAAGGTATTAGGGAGACAAAAAAAATGTCACATGCGAATAACACCAAACCAACGCCCCCCCAACACACACACACACGCACACACTCTTTGCAACTAAATATTTGACTTTAAAAAATAACCCAGGTTTATACTAGAGTCAATGCTGTTGGTGTCTTTTTGATGAGACGTCAATAAATGTATACCATAGTAGTAACATCATGTCCAGATTCCTTATGTGTTTAAAAACAAACAAATGGGTTGGAGCATCACAATTTTGTGGACTGAGACAAGATCCTAACAACTGCAGACACCATTATTTTTAATAAAAGCATATGTACCAAATTGTCAAACAATTCAGTTTCTACTCAAATGTGTAAGAAAAATAAATGGCAGCAGATTCAGTAAGAAATAGAAAGAGAAAATGAAAGATAAGATATAAATTTCTTTCTCCTTACAAAAATGTCCCTCCAAAATAAATGAGTCTATTAACACAAGTAAAACAGACGCTCTCTTTCCAGTGAAGCTGAACCTCCTGGGTCCTCAGCATTAAATAAGATTAATGCTGCCTTCACATAAAAGCAAAATGGTATATGAGCTTATTAAATTCATTTCCTCAAGAACTTTTGAAAGCCAATTAATATATCTATTCCCACAAATAATACATCTGCTCCTCACTAATGCTAGTTAAAATTATTGTCCCTGTGAAAAAATACTCAGACCAAAAATTTTACTTCTATGAATCCATACTGAATTCCATATTCAATCACTTTAAGATGTATTCATTATTTTGTGTCTTGTTTCACAAGAACTTTTTTTCTTGATTTATGACAATAACGGTTCATTTTTTTCTATCTCTATATAATGCCAGATGAAAGGTTTTCAAAAGTAAAGCACATTTTTTTTTTAAAAGACACGTATTGCTTATTAAATTTTGGAAACAAAAATAAAAAGAATACCTCTTGTAAATGTGAGTCTTTCTTTTTCGCTGATAAATTCAAATGTTTATCAATTACACTATAATTCTTTTCTGTCTCTTTGTCAAACTTCTTTTTTTCTTCCTACAAATCAAAAAAAAAACACAGACGACTCTGATTAAACAGAAAAAATGCATACAGTTAATCCACTGGGAAGCTCAAAATATGAAAAATACCTGAAAATAAAATACCACTGAATGTGATGAAGCTGTCTAAAAAACGTATCTATACCCAGCCTACCGCTTATTAATCATCAAGACAGCATTAGGATTGAAGAGACACTTTTCTTTTTTTCCTTTAATGGACTTTTTCCCAAGCCTATGTTATTTTTCAACTCTTCATACTTATCAGTGTGTTAAGAATTAGTGCTATGTCACTCATCCCTCACAAAAAGAAAAAAATAAATATATAAAAAGAATACAAAGGTTAAAAAAGCAAACTTGTTCCAGATTTTGGCATAGAAATGGAATTCATTTAAAATGGAGTAAGTTTTTCTCTAGATAAAAAAATTCATAATAAACACTGTTAGAAAAAATATCTTGGGAAAGATATTCTTCCCTAATGGTCCAATATGAATACGGATTGAGTACCCTTTCTCTGAAATGCTTGGAACCAGAAGTGGTTCAGGTTTCAGATTTATTTTTAATATTTGCATATGCATAATGAGATAATCTTGGGCATGGACCCAAGTCTGAATACGAAATTCACTTATGTTTCATATATACGTTATACACATAACCTGAAAGTAATTTTATGCAATATTTTTATTTTTAATAATTTTATACATGACACAAAGCTTATGTACACTGAACCATCAGAAAGGAAGGGGTCACGTGGAATTTTACACTTGCAGTGTCATGTCAGTGCTCCAAGTTTCACAGTAGTACGGATTTCAGGTTTTCAAATTAGGGATGCTCAACTTGTATAACAATAAGATCCTCTGACCAGAAATGTCATGTACTTTCCCAAAACTTACCAGTGATTTCTTTCTTTCTTTTTTTGGAGACAGAGTCTTGCTTTGTTGCCCCAGCTAGAGTACAGAGGCATCATCATAGCTCACTGCAACCTCAAATTCCTGACCTCAAGCTATCTTCCCACGCTGGCCTCCCAGAGGGCTAGTATAACAGGTGTGAGCCACCATGCTCAGCTGGTTTCTGTAACGCTATTTAGAATATGTATCAATAAGTCAACAGGGCCTAAAATAATATTGACATACTATAATAGTACTGAGATCCTTTGGTTAACATCACAAACATTTCTCAAGTCCTGCCTAGAAATAGTACATATGTGCTTTCCTTTTGCTATAGAAGCTTTTTAAGAAAAGAGGTAGCCAAATTTTTAAATGCAGAAAAGACAGACTTATCCCCCCTAAAGTTGCTTGCCAAGGTAGTAGATATTTAATAAATATTGTTGAGTATCAATGAGAACACACTATGTCCTCATGCTGTCGAATGTTTCCATTAACTTCGAACTCTTCCTAACTCTCCACATCCCCGAAAAGGAACATTTTCTTTCCTATTTTCCAACTTCTATTTTCTAAAGCAGAAATAATGAATTATTCCAGCCTTTTCTGATATGATTTTTTTTTCCTATCAGGCAAAGAGATTATATGAAGCATGTTAATTCTCTATTTATTTATTTATATTTATCTTCCCCCGACCCCTACTACATGGGATCACGAAAGGCTGTTTTGGGAATCCAGGATAGTATGTCCTCTACCAGGTCATCTAAAGACCCTAAATTAATCCCCACATTGATGGACAAGAGACTCAGCAAGTGGGTTTCTACTCCAGTCTAATTACCAACTAGCTATACAGCTTCACAAAGACCACCTGACAACAAAGAACCTAGTTTTCTTATCAAAAAGATCAGGGATTTTTTTTTGTACTAGCTCATTCTTAGACCCAATCCTAAAATTCTGTGATCCTATGGTTCGCCTATGCGTAAGAAAGTAGCACAAAAAAAAGTAGGCAGTTTTATTTTAACCTCTTTCACTTAGCAGTCACTCTTTTGTTAAAACAAAAGGACTTTATTTTTCTCCATGCCCTAGGTTTTTCTTAATTTACAACTATTTTATAAAAATCTAGGGTATTACTATTACATGGTTACTCTCTTTTCTGCTTTTTATCATTATGCTCTACAACTATTTTAATGACTAACAGAAAATCATCTATAACAAATATATGCCCATTACCTAAAAATGTCCACTACTGTAAAAAGCTGGTATTGTAGGGTGCAACTGAATTAGGTGTCAGAAGACTCAAGTTCTCGCCCTGGCTACCTACTACTCTGTGACTTTGTACCAGGGTCACAGCATACCCTCAGCATCGGTTTCTCAGGTTTAAAGAAAGCAGGAATGGAAGTCGTGCCTGTGCACTGACCACAGATTCCTGCAAAGCAAGATCACACAGTAAGAAATGTTCACTCTTTCCAGACTAGCGCTTACCAGGTATATGGAACACATTTTTACTCCCTTATTTGATTTCATCTGAATCACAGAAAGGGACAAAGGACGGAGTGATGCTGAAATCAGCAGTCAAAACACTCAGCACACACAGCAATGTGCGTATGTAAATTAACATGTGGGTAAAGATGGGCAGGAGAGAAAATGGAGGCATCAAGGCTTTGTGAATAAAGAAATTAGCCAAGAAACAACATCACACCCACCAATTTTAGAATAGAAATACATTTGTTCATACATGGTATAATATTATACAAATGCTGCTGTGTTTTATTTTTGAATCGTAAGACTTAATTATTTCTTCTTGCATTTGTTCTTAATGTCATTATTCTGTTTCTTTGTGCTCATATGATTTCTTGTGCTGAAATAGTACTAATTTTAAAGGAGACTATTCAAGTAGCATTCAATAAACAATGGAGTTTCCCCCCCCCAACATTGTATTTCAGGAATTATATAATATTATATATAAATTCAGCAGCATAGTCCAAATAGTTTCATCAAGATCAAGTTGAATACCATGTGAAAGTTTTTCTTATAAATCAGACATTACACACTCAAGTAAGTCTGGGCCAGGCAGTAATCTAATGAGTGGGGCAGGGTGGGACAGAAATGCAATGATGAGTGCTTGGGCCATGGCAAGCCAGATAGCCTCCATCTGCCCTGGAGGGGAAGGCACCATCACTCAGCTCCAGCAGGCTTTGCCACGTGGGAATACAAGCCCAGTAAGTAGGCTGTGTCTTCTGATTTTTCTGGAACAGCTGAAAATCCAATGATTTTTAAATGGTGGCAACATTTTTTTTTATTTCAACATCATGAGTAAGCCAAACAAAATTTATGTTTATAGGTTAAATATGACTCACAGAAAGTCAGCCTGTAATCCGCAATAAAATTGCACATGCAAAGAACCCCGCAAACCATAAAAAGAGCTACTGCTGAAAACAACATAATGGGTCAAATAAGACATACGTTGTATAAATGGTAGAGGGAATTCATGAACCTAAAAACCACAATTCAAATAACCAGATCTTTTGAATACCACTAGAAGTAAAAATACATTGTCATCACAAATCACTAGCTTAAAAAAAGAAAATGTTATTCAACCAATGGTGCTGGTACAATTGTTTAAACTACTAGGAAACAGAAAGAAAACTCCACCTCGTATCAAAATTAATTCCAGATGTAACGAAAGAGTCACCAGTAAAAAATGAAGCCAAAGAAAAGAGAGTATTTTCATCAGATCTCAGGACACAAGAGGACTTATTCTAAGCAAAAAAGAAATGGAAGAAGCCATAAGTACTTCGAAATATCAAAAAATACACAATAATCAAGCCAAAAGGCAAACAAGAAAGGGCGGAGAGTATAACCAGTATGTAAGAAAATAAGTAAACATTCTTAACACATAAAAATTAATTAAGCAATTTTTTTGCTAAAAGCACACATTAATACTTCCACTGAGAAATGGATAAAGAACATAAAGAAATCAGAAAAGTTTGAACATAATTGTGAATTGCCTATTTTTCTATAGGGTATTAGACTGTTTTGTTTTAGAAGACGGGAAGAACTTTTTAAAAGTTACTAGATGACTGGTTTTGAATTTTCTGTATTTTACAATTTTCTAAGATGTGGAAATGAAAAAGGCTTCTTTTCAAACTATACGCATTAAATAATATTTAGTAGTTGACTGGTCTAGAAAAGAATTTAAATATGGCAGGTCCTTAAATAACATCCTTGTGCTATAACAGATAAGAAAAAAAAAATGGATTCCCAGCCGGGGTCCCTGTCTGCGTGGGTTTTCTCCTGGTACTCCGGTTTCCTCCCGCATCCCAAAGCTGTGCACGCGAGGTGACCGGCGTGTCTACGCACTCCCAGTGTGAGCGAGCGTGGGTGTGGGATGGCATCCTGAGCTGCTGGGAGAGGCTCCTGCCACTCACAACCCTGAACTGGAATAATTGGGTAAATAATGTATCTTTCTTGTTTTTATCAATCTCTCTTCAATGTATGTGTCGCTCACTGTGCTTTTCTTAAGAGATTCCAACTCTTTCTCTACCACACACACAGGAAAAAAGATTCACACTACATGTCATAGAAGCAGCAGGAATGCTTTTTAAAACCCAATCTTGTCTATCCAAGCTAACCAGAGTGCTGTGATCCGTGGTCGGCCAACATCCTCCAGCCCAGGTGAATCCCCCTCTTCTATGAAGCACTCCCTCGACCCTCCAGTGGGGGGCAGCACCCTGCCTCTGTCAACTCCTGACCTCCACCAATGTCATCTATTCCTACTTGACACTTCATCTGCCTTATCCAACCCCGCTCTGCCCTTTTCTTTAAGCTCCTAGCAGCTCTAAAGAGATGAGAATTCTGCTTCTATCCCTACAGAGCACTTGACTCCAAACCCAGTAGCTGCCCAGGTGACATCTATCAGAGGTCAAGTGAACCAACCAGCATAGGACTGCAGTGGCACCAACCCCAAGCGCCACCATCGGATCCTGCTTGGTTGCTACAGAATCACCAAACCAGCCCCCTAGCACTATTTGCCCAGAAAGGCCATAAAAGCCTCAGTGCTCTGTCACGGTACCCCTGAGCCCAGCATGCAGAGAATGGACAAAAACCTGGGCAATTCTTGTTTGGCAAGCTGAGAGGGAGCAAGCCATAAATGGGATAATGCAATAACTGCAACTACATAAGCCAGGCCCCACATTAGACACCTGGAGTACATTATCAAATTCACTTAATTCTCACAATAACCTTCTGAGACAGGTGTCATCAGTCTCATTTTACAGACCAGAAAACTGAGGCTTAGAGGTCTTAAGCAACTTGCCCCAAATTATACAGCTAATTAAAGCACTGAAAAAGGATTCAAACCAGAAGAATTAAGTCTACCTGAAAAACTTTCTGGTGCTCCAAAGCTGAGATGGTAGGGTACATTCCAGAGCACCTATGCTTGCCCCTATTATAGCACTTATCACTGTATTTTTTTTTTTTTTTGAGAGAGAGTCTGGCTCTGTGGCCCTGGCTAGAGTGCCGTGGTCTCAGTCTAGCTCACAGCAACCTCAAACTCCTGGGCTCAAGCCATCTTCCTGCCTCAGCCTCCCAAGTAGCTGGGACTACAGGCATGTGCCACCATGCCCGGTTAATTTTTTCTATATATATATTTTTAGTTGTCCAGATAATTTCTATTTTTTTTTTTTTAGTAGAGACGGGGGTCTCGCTCTTGCTCAGGCTGGTCTCGAACTCCTGACCTTGAGGGATCCACCCGCCTCGGCCTCCCAGAGTGCTAGGATTACAGGCGTGAGCCACCGCGCCCAGCCTTATTACTGACAGTCTCACTCAGAGTTGCTAACTCCTTGAAGGTCAGCCGGTGTTTTAGTTCATAGTTATATCGAGGACCTCTCACACTATGCCATATGATAGGCACTAATAAGTGTTGTATTACTAAATGAAAAAAATGTAATTAAATCAACATTGTTTCTGCTTTATCAAATATAATTTGAGAAATTATTCAGACAGGTTTGTTTTTTGCCCGTATTTTGCAGTCACTTATGGAATCTTGGGAAGTCAGATTTTATTAAAAATGTATTCATTAGACAGTCTTGGAAAGAAATTTGGGGTGAGGATCTGGTGATGGGCTTAGGTGGTAAGTCATAACCTATAAAATGAGCATGTGTTAACCTGCTGTTTAAACTTTTTTATTCTATTGGGTAGAATTATAATGGCCCCTTCCAAGGCAGGGTTTGGGCAGACTCTGTTGTCAATACGGCTAACTGCATCCACTTGCATTTGCATGCTGCTGCTTGCCCAAACTCACATTTTCATTACTTGATTGGTCAAATGTCTGAAAGAGCAATTCTAAATTCTCCCACTGTAACTCTTACTATGTTCTGGTATTTCTCAGAGTTTTTACTCAATCTACTTGGCTCTTGTATTGTTTGGTACCTGTATTTAGTTCCCTGTAGCTAAATCTACATCTGATGAGTGATGGCAACCAACAAGGTACTCTGGGACACTTGACCATGAAGAACACCAAGCTTCCCGGGGGACGTTCGAGACCTTCACAAGGAGGTAAGGACTGCGCTAGGCCTTGAAGGAACTGTGAACAGTCACTCAATGTGATGCTTCAGGGAATAACCCGTGTCCTGCGACAGCAAATGGGCTTCTTTAACACAGGTTAGAGCCTACCCAGCATGTGTGAAAATGCATCAGAACCTCCAAAGTGGAGATATAAGCCCAAAGCAAACAGATATGACTCAAGGAAAACATATCCAAACAGAAGCAAAACAGAAGAAAAGAATTCCTGGAAGCTTTTTTAAAAATCCAATTTACAAAACCACCTAGAGGCTTAGAGTCCTTTAAACCACAGTTAAACATGTAATTGGTCCTTCGGAAAGCGGAGAAAGCAAGAGTACAGGGAACCGAAAGAGCTTCGGTGCAAGGCAGAGGGTACGACAGTACCAGATGGGGAAAAGGAGAAGAGGAAAGAGAAGATTAAAATGTTGACCCTGACATCTAAAAATTTTGATGTGGTCAACTTTTAAAGACATTTTTTCATCACCACATGAAAACTGTTTAACTTTTTTTTAAAAAAAGCTCTTTAATCTAAGAGAGTAAGGTCTTTTCGAAGTATCGGAGATTAATCAGAGGACTCAAGATTGTGTACTTGTCAAACTATAAATGAGTATTTAGGAAGCACAGACGTAAAGTAAACAGATACCCAAATTAAAACCCTTTCTGGTTCTTCTAGAATTATTGGTTGAATAGGTTATTTATTTATACCTTACATAGTATGGCAGGGTGGAGGCTGGTAGAAAATAATGAAGCAGAATCTTCTCTCTTAAAGATCTCACAATCTAATGGAAGATTCCAATGTTTATATATCATTATGTAACATAATCACCTCTCTCCACTGTTTATTATGATATGTGAAAACTGCCAGTTAAAAAGGGCTTCTCCCTATGACCCACAACTGGCTCCTCACAGGTAACATCACTGGGTATGACAGCCAACACAGGTGCTCTACTCAACAAGAACGTATGATGAACCCTTCATAAACGTGAAGCCAGAAGAGCAAGGAGGGGTAAAGAAATGGGACGTCAGGATAGAATTTGAGCACTAAATAGCTCAAAGCATAGACTAAACTATTGAAGTCATTCCTCCTTTTGAAAGGACAATTTATTTTGCAAGTTGCTATGCACAATATACTCTGAACAAGTACAACATTGGAAGCTGGGAAAGTCTGGGGTGAGGAGAAAGGAGTCACTAGAAGATTCAAGGTCAGAAATTTATAAAACCCAGTAGTGTAGATGGCAAATAAAAAGAAAATGTACGTATTAATTAACTCACACTCACTTTTCATTTCCATAACATAATCTTCACACATACCCCCACCATCCAATTCAAATATGAAAAATAAGAAATGGATATTGTTTACATGCAGTACCTGCCAATGAAATGTTAAGAGAGACAGAACCAATATGTTCAAGCTTTAAAACAGCTTGAGGAGACATAATCAGAGAAAAGAGAATCATAAAACTGCAGAAGAGAGTAGTCAGATCCCCAAGTCCTTCATTTTGCAGATAAGAAACTAAAGCCAATTACTTGCTCAAAGTCACAGAGGAGAGACCTGACCTCCCACCTCCTGCTGCACAGCCAGAGGAGATTCCAGCTGCTTGTGGCTCAGCAACAATCAAAGGAAGAAGGGGGTCTAGCTGGTGCTCCACTGATCTCCCACTGTCCATAAGGTCTGAATCCCAATTCAGAGCCCTTCATGAAAAACTTTAAAGTATCATATTACACCAAAAAGAAATGTTTAATATTTTAACAAATCACTTAAAGGAGAAGTAATTCTGTAAATAGCAACCGAAAAGCTAGAACTCTTTGAGTTCATCTGTGTAGTTACAGCTATTGAGGCTGTAATGTTTATTTGTACCAAGAAATCTGAATAGTTTCTTTTAGGAAGATAAAGAAAAAATTTCACAACCCCAGCCATGTGGAGGAAAAAAAAAATACAAATATAAAAACTCTCCTCCCTACTTAAAATTGATGTTATTCTCTTCTCCTTGGGCCAAGCCAAAAATGGTCAACAACATGCAAATGTTACTTTTTCTCCCTCAAGTACATACTCAAAATTCAGGCAAGATTGGTGGAAATTATTTCTCTGGGATAATTTCGAAGCTTGGATCGCAAACTTTAGAAGTTGCCAAATATATCCTAGGCTCCCTATGGCAAAAGCACTGCATTATTCCTGGAAATCGTGGCTAAATCCCAGATCCCTGAGTGCAGAACCCACGATTCACTCACTCATCTTTGAATAATCAGCATAATACTATACCATACACCATACTATAACAATACTGGCACATATTAGCAGCTCAATACGTTTTTGTTAAATGGAAGGAAATTACATCCCAGTAACTTAATACTCTCTTCCTAGTTTCAATGGCATCATGCCATAGCAGCACCTCTAATCTTAAACACTATCATAATGCTACACTCCTCCATAAAACAGAGGTTTGCATGGAAATAACTGCACTGCCCACAGTGATAAGATCCTTCTATTCAGAGTAAATGTGTTGTTTGGTTAAAGATATTTTTAAAACTCTGTATGGAAAGGTGTAGCCAAAGAAGATTACTAGAGGTTTTACTACCCTGGCCAGGTGTTTTTGTTTTGTTTTCAATCCCATAGCCCCTAAAGGGGAAAACCATATTTAAAACACAAAACAACAGATGGTTTGCTCCAGCATCTCCTTTAAAGCTGCCAAATGTGAATATAATGTACAATGAAGCAACAGAGGCATCCACGTTTTCTGTTTACAAGAATACTCAAATTAGACACAAACCTTTACAGCTCCAAGTTGCTCTTTTCTGAATTTTTCCAAGGGTTTAATCAGGGTTTCAGTTACACTTAATGCCTAGAGAACAAGAGTGATAACAAAAGAGCATAGTGTTAGGTTTCCAAAAAGGAAAAAATTAGTATTTCATTTCCCTCTTCCACTCCACCCAGAAATAAAATGAACAACACATTTAACTGCTTTATCTCACCCTGCCAATCCCTTCTCAACTTATTAAAGCACTAGAACTCCATAAATATTTTCAGGGAAGAGGAGGTAGGGCAGATGGCCAGGGAAATGTGCAAGGCAGCCCCCACACCCAACAAAGGGGTCTGTCACATTCATTAACAGAACACTTCTGTCTGAGATTGTTTTTTCCTCCCCCTCCTCAGAAATTTAAAATTCAACTGCATTCCTTTATTGGTAATCAGACTACATTATGTAAAGAGCTAGGATTGTGGCTACTTGTTCAAATGCGACCAGTCTGTCCTTCATTGCTGAGAATTCCTCATGAGGATTTAAGGTGTATTAGCAGAGCACAATCACTGGAGGATCATGAAAAAGTCACAGGAAACACTTGGGAGCACTGGCGAATATTACACGAGGGAGGGAGGACACGAGAGGAGCCACAGACTCCAACCACAGCCACACTCGTTTCTGACAGTGACTGGTTTGGGGCTTTTCATGTTAAGCCACAAAATGCTAAAAATGCAAATAAAAGGGAACAGTCACCCAAGCAGAACATACTTAACAATATGTTGGTGAGTAGTGGCTTCTCACCCTCTATTTCCAGGAGAATAGAAATATCCAAAATAGAAAAGAAAATAGCAAAATACTATTCAAGAATGTGCCATCTCTCTTTCTATAAAGGTGCCCCCCAAAAATCTAAGCTTAAAATTACAGAAATAAGAAGTGACTTGGGATAGGAAATGATTCTTAATGTAGCCAAAGGCTTCTTAGCAGTGTTTCACTATGAGAGGTTTCTCCCCAAGAGACTGTTCATCTCTTGGAGAGAAAGGAACACTCAACCTATGTGACTGTGCCCACATTCAAGATGCCCAGAGTGTGAACTTTCTACCCAAGGCTGGACCTTGGGTTACATTCACTCCCATCTGATAATACATTACTGGGGTGTGAAAGAGCTGAAGCCACAGAGATCTAAAAGAATGAATTAAGAGCAGCAACTGGCCAGGGGAAAGGGATCATTTTCAAAATATATTCATTTTATCCTCTCTACATTATAGACCATGTGACCTACAATAATGGAAAATCAGAAAGTCCTACATACTAAAGAACAGAGCAGGGACAAAGCCCCCCAGGACAGGAATTCTGACCACCCAAATAATATAGAATGCCCCAAGTTCCCCTTGGCAAAGCAGATACAAAAGGTTCTGCCACACATGTTCAAGGTGATCCAATTTATACATCATGTCTCAGAAATTAATTTAAGGCACATTTTATATATGAGTACCTTTGTAACTTCCTAAGCTTATACCTCTAGATCTGGCCTGCTCATGTTCCCAAACACAGCCACATTAATAAACCTTCCGTGGAGGATAGCACACTCAAGAAAGAAGTCAGCCTGGCCTTACATGCTGGGATCACAGAGGCCAATAACTGCTTGAGTTCACAGAAGGCAGGAACAGAGAATCAAAATCATTTAAGTCTGAGCCCAGGTTTAACCGCCATACACTACTGCAATAAGTACCAAATGGACGACTTCCCCACTCCAAGTAGCCATCTGAGTAAACCGCATATTTCACAAAATAAGTATTTGCTGAGCATCCAATATCAGGTCATGGGGACAAACATAAGCAAAACAAACACAGACCCCTGCTCTGATAGAAATTATTGTGTAGTAAGAAAAACATATGCTGGATACACAGACACCTAAGGAAAAATGCATAATTGAAAATTCTAGTAATACTTTCCAATGGGGAAAAGAAGGGGTGTAGTGAGGAATTGATTAGAAGAGGCATAAGGAGAAATATGCTCAGGGAGAACTTCACCAAAGTAGCGACATTTAAGCTAATACCTGAAAGATGAGAAGGAATCCATGGTGCAAAGAGCAAGGGAAACTGTTTCCAGCCTGAAGCCAGTGGAGGAAAGGATGAAGGTGAAAACGAGTTTAAGCATTCCAGGAAACATCAAGAGGCCAGATGGCTGCAGCATGAGGAACAATGAAGTGAACTCAGAGCTAAGTGACAACAGGAGACCAGAGCATACTGGGCCTCATGGGCCCTAGAAAAGGGTTAGCATTTTATTTGGGGTACAAGGAAAGCCATTAAAGGGTTTTTAAGCAGTGAGTGGACACAATGATAATTAGGTCTTTTAAAAAGATTACTCTCGCTGCTCTAAGAGATAAAAGGTGAGAAACCTGGAAGAAGAAAGGCTCATTAGCAGGCTGCTAGAGTGGTACGTGAAGATATGGATCATGTCTCAGAGGAAAGCAGTGACAACAGAAATAAAGAGAAGTAGACAGATTTGAGAGATGTTTGCAGATGGAATCAAAGTAATGGGTGATGGACCGAATGTAGAAAAGGATGGAGATTTCCAGGATCACTCCCAGATTTCTGGCATGAACAACTGAATAGACAAGAATACTATTTGTTGAAACAAGAAATTCTGGAGGAAAAGCAGCTAACTTCATGCACTAAGGGCTCAAGTTAAATCTGAGATGCTGAGAGAGACCCAAAATCTCAGTAACTAACAGGCTATCAGAAACATTAGGTACACAGCCTAGATAGAAATCTAGATCAGAGAGAGAAATTTCACAGTCATCAGCAAGTAGATGGGGTTTGAAGTCATGAAAGCAGATAGGTAGGATGTGGTAGAAAAAAGAAAGAAAATGTCCCAGACCAAACACCTAGATCAGAAAATGGAAGAACGGAAGGAAAAGACGGCAGTGGGCCTGGGGAGAAGCTCCCAGGATGCTGGATGAAAGAGAAAGGGGTTAGCTATGTGCGCTGCAGAGATGTTAAAGAAGGAATGAGACCTCAGCGACATCCACAGACAGGTGAGACAAAGAGCTGAGCTGGAGTCGATCTACGACTGAAAGGTGAGAACATTTGGGGGCACAACCCTTCTTCAGGATGACCACGAAGGGCAGCACACAGAGAGGAAGACTGCTGAAAGGGAACTCACAGTGAAGTGAGGGCATGTTTTTTTTTTTTTTTTTAAGATGGAAGATTGGTATATAAGAGATGAGAGCACATCTAAATGCCCATGTGAGGGATCCAGAAAAGATGGCTCAAAGTCTCTAACGTGGGAAGAGAGGGGACGCTGGCCGCACATGGAGGGTTGGCCTGCCACAGGAGTAAAGCTCCTTCCCTCCTTGTGATAGGAAGGGAAGGAGAAAACAAGTGCCAATACCGGTGGATTTGCAGACTTAATGAAAAAAAGCTGAGGGAGTTGCTGCCAGATGGTTATTTTTTCCAGGAAGTACAAGACAAGGTCACTTACAGAAAGTTTGGGCATGGGAAGAGGTTGGAATAGAGAGGAGAATGAATCAAAGAATCATTACAAACAGGGGATAGAGCGCTTCCGAGAGAAACATGAACATTCCTGGGCAGGGCTGAAGGCCCTTGGAGACAGGTGAGCAGGAGTTTATGATGACATTTTCCTGTCTTGCTGTGGGATTTTCTCCAGCAAGGAAGGGAGAAGTTGGGCAGCTGGGTTCATCCTGGGTGAGAGTGTTTCCAAGAGATGTAAACACGTCAGCACAATATGGCGTGGTATGTAAAGTGCTGACAAGCTACACAGAGCTATCGGGGAACAGAGCGGGGAGCCCCCTGGGAAGAGAAGACTTCCTGAGAGCACACAGAGCTGAGCTTCGCACAGGGGAAGTTCTCCAGGCAAAGCATAAGAGTGAAAGAAAGGCCCTCCACGTAGAGAGGAGAAAACAGCAATTTCAGGGATGGACTACAAACAGTTCAGCGTCCCTAAAGGAGATGAAGACGTCAGAGAGGATCACGAAAGGAGGCTGGAAATATCAGCTGACCTCTATTAGCCATCAGAATGAGACCTGGAAAATGCTCAGAAAATGCTAGAAGTAGGCATTAATAATATGGACATATGAAAGCCTTTTAAAATAAGAACTCCAATACCCCATCCTCTGGGGTGAACACCATCCTTCACAAAAAGGACCAGGCCACAAAGATTACACAAGAACAATTTTAGGTCATGATATTTGTGCTTCATTCGGAGAATTAACGTGATGAAGTATCTGACCTCCAAGGGCTAACACCAATGTAGGAAAGGCACATAAGGGTTTCTGCCTTCTGTCTGCAGGTCAATAAGCAAATTTCCAAAACAAGGAAAGAAGTAGTTGTGACAGATAACACTAAATCCAACTCTTTGATTTAAAAAGTTTTTAAATAAAACTACTTTTAAAAGCTTAAAATTCATTACAAGTTTTCTTCTTTAGGAAAGTCTGATTTTGTAACTTCTGAACCCAACCTAAAAAATTCTACTTAAGAACAAAAGAATAAAGCAGCCACTAAACATTTCAATAAGGCAATGTTGGTTGAGCAAAAAGAATTGTTTTTTTCCTTTTCTCAAAATAGACTGGCGACTCCATGAAATCTTTCAATTCCTTTTATAATTTCACAGAAATATTATATAATATTTGTTAGTAGTAAATGTTACTGATGTTTTCTAATGCCAAAACATGATTCTTCTTCCCCAGAGACAAATGAATACCAAAGCTACAACTGTCCCTAAAACTCTAAAAGCAATTTATGGTGATGACAGTTTCTCTGTATCAGAGAGACAGCTAAAGTAATAATATTGAGAAAGCTTTCAAACACTAACATATTAGAAATCAGTCAGATAAGAAGGAGAGCAAATATAGAATGTGATTTTATAACACACATATAAAATTACATAACCATATTTGTTCCCATAAAATACTTGAAGTAGCTAAGAAGTCACAAAATACCTTTGCAAATACCTTACCAACCTTGGAAAGGATTTCAGATAGCCTTGCTTAGAAACAAAAGGCAGCTACATGAACATAAAATACGTCAATTAATCAGTTGTTCTCTCCTTACAGCAAGAGTCACCCAACTTTTCCCATAAAA